TCCAATCCTTAAGAGTAGATTTCGAGTAGACCAGACAATAATCGGCTGGGCCAGTCGTATGCTAAGGAATAAATGGATACACTGTAGCCTATAAGACATAATTATCAGGAACCAAATAGGCCACTGATGTGGATCAAAATGTCACTTCGCCTGCCAGATCACAATACGACCCTACTGGCGGAGGTTGAAACTATAACGACATGTCTAAAACCGTGTCTATACAAAATGATATCTGACCATCACGAATATACTAGAGTTGAGCAATGGAGTTCACGAAGCGGATCGATCTTTCTCTTTCCTTGTTTTTAAATGAACTAATTTCGTAAGATGGTTCCATTGTTCCAAGGCCTATTGATAAGCTCATCCTGGGGATCAGCTGCCACTCATGTTTGTTGTCAAAATCCCTTATTGTGTAAACAAAGCCCTAATTTTTGACATAAGACTTGAGAAAAAAACAGCGGACTTTCGCTAGCTGGGTGATATTATTAATATATCTTGCATTGTTCCATATACTTAGTTCCGACCATGGAACAATGAGTAGTTAGTTCATTTGGCGCAGCTTATGACATGATTAACTGTCAAAAGGCGTAATTTCTATTTGAATTTTATTTGACAGATGGTCGAGACAAAAACAAGAGTTATTATTGCATCATGGTTCCGATGACCAGTGAAAGGAACCAGATCAGATAAAGGAACGATATCAGAAAAAGGAAATATAGGAACTAAAGAACTGGATCTGTTTCTTATCGTTCGTTTATCGGAATAATTTCAATGAACTAGTTTGTTTCGGAACTACCCAACTCTAGTTTATACGGACGCGTCCACAGGTGACAAATAGTGGGAAGCTCAATAATTTATTGGTTAGCTGCGAATGAAATAAGCACTCATGCATAGTCAGCTGATGGCTCAGATTTTCAAATTGGAAGAACTGCGCGCAATACCGACGCGCAGTTCTTATAGATCAAATATTCTTGTAACAAGCCAGATAAGTATGTAAGCATTGTCAAAGGTTCCAAAGGGAGGGTCTCGGAGTGGTAAAGGCAAAGTTTTTGCTCCCCCGTATAACGAACCAAAACCCATAGGTTTCCTCGCTAATTCCCTAAATGATGACTTCCAAACGTTGAGGTATTATTCGAACTTCGTCCATCAGTGTTTAGGGTTTGCAGTCAGGCTTCTGACTGAAAAGCGAAAAGTTGGAACCTTTCATGTATCATTACCCGGGTTTTGCAAGGTTTCGAACCCAATTCTTGGTAAATGGTACTATTCACGATCCGAAAACAACATAAAACGGTACATGCAGTAGAACTTTTTGCCGGTTAACCTCAATTATGGGATTTATTTGTCATACAGTAATAAAATTAATAGTTTATATATGCTGAATTTACTAAATCCAGTATAATGTAAATGTACTATAAGTTAGGTGATTGAAAAAGAAGTCCGAACACAGAATTCCTAGACGCTTAGAAATACAACATCTCAAGATGCATTTTTCTAACTTTCTTGCTTTTCTAGAGAGCACAACAGGGTCTTTCACTGCCTTTTGTGAATGTCCTTCTATTGCACATCAGGTGGTGAAAAACATCGATCTATAAAAGCTAACCCATATTTATGGAGTCTTTATTGAATCGAATAATATACTTTTTGTAATAATATACTATCTTGTCTAAAAATCGAAGTCGACTTTTGATCTTTGAGGAAATTGCAAAGTCGGCATTCGATTTCTTCATAAATTTTTGGTTTATACAGGCACATGGCACAATGAATAGGTAGTCCATATAGCGCCGCTGATGTCCTGATTAACTGTCAAAGTGGGTAATTTCTACTTGAATTCGATGTGCAGTGTTGCCAACCCTTTGAAATACTATATGGAAAAATTTGACAGATAATCGAGACAACAAAGATTTTTGTATGATACATGACCTTATTATTGCATCATGTACAGGCATGTCACAGAAATGAATTCCGTTCGGAAGTGGAATTAATTCCATATTTAGCTTCTTCAGAAAACGGAAAATGAAATTTTTTTTCGGAAAGAAATCACTTTTGATTTTGAAAGTGGAATTGCATTTATTTGAGAACTTGTCACTTTTAAATACTGTGAAATTACTTTCAATAATAAAAATATTGTTTTTGATAATAAATTCACATAAAAATTCACATTTTTGGCTTTTTTCAAAATTTTGTAAATTTTAGTTATCAATTGTTTTTATCAATAAATGATGCCATCAACATCAAAGGGCTTAAAACGAGCAACCTCAGGAAATAAAGAAAATAGCCGTTTGGATATTACATTATCCCCTTCCCACTCAGCAAGGTATATTTAATAAGGTAGCCGCATCGGCCCAGCTGTTGGTGCAAATAAATGTCAAAAATGTTGTTGTAGTGTTGAACCAAAAAATTAAAAAACAAAATTATAAATGAAAATCTCTGAATTTCGAAGAGCTTGTTTGGCAATACTTTTATTAACATTTTCTACAAGAATTTGTGTAAAAAAATCTTGTCAATCTGTTTGTTTTGGCAAAATATTTTTGACATATCAAAATACAACAACCGATGTTTGTTGTAGTAATTCGCCGATGCGGCTACCTTGTATATCCACCTTGCCACTCAGTATGTCATTAACTGTCACCGTCGCCGAAACGATTTAGAGCGCGTACCTCATGTACTCCTAAAACAGTACTTTTTCAATACCCCGTTGATTAATTTGAGCTTCAATCACAGAAACAATAGAAACTCCCGGCATTTTTTAAACAAATATTGTGTTTTCACTGGGATTTAAAGAAATAAGATTACTTTAAAATGCAACATTTTTTCCCGATTCTCTTTTACGTTGTTTTTAATCACATGGTTTTGTTTTGATTATAGCAATGTTGCCATATTTTAACTAAGCAAAGCGATTCGTTTCAGTTTTCGGAATTCGTAAAATCGATCGGAATCTAAAGAAGCTAAAACAAAAACGGTTGAAATGCAATTACGGAATTGAAACCATTCCGATCAGAATCTGTGACATGCCTGATAATTACAAAGCCCAAAAATTATGCATTCCAGAACTTTATGTTTTCTGATGCCAACTATTTATATTATGGCATAATTACAGAAGAAATTAATAATGGCAACACTTTTTAATTTGGAACTCTTCTATCAATTTGAAATTTGTTTGACATGACTTGTATAATAATGCATAATTATACAAGGTAGTCTCATGCAGTCATATGTTTCCATTTTTTTTTTCATAAAATTGCCTTTGACAGTATTCATATTTCAAAATTTTAATGAAAATATTTTCCTTCGAAATGTACGCATATCATGTGTTCAGTGGCAAAAATTGTTAAATCATTTAAATTTATAAAAATTTTTAAGTTCCTTGTCTCTAAAACTTATAAATATAAGATTTAACAACCATGGTTAAATCTTAAGAGCAAAGTTCAATTTTAGAAAATATATATTGTTCAACTTATTGAAAATATGCCAATCGATATACATAAAAATGTGTGGAATTTATTTTTCATTTTATTTAAATTTGATAGATGAGTTCCAAATAAAAAAAGGGTTGCCATCATCAAATTCTCAATGTTACAGTTTTTATCTCACCCTGTATATTGAATAAAAATAGATTTCCCCACAAAATGTTTTTGTATTAGGAAAGATCAGACGTTTTCGAATTGATTTGTAGTACGACCTCTTCATAGGTCAGACACCTGGCCCTCAATATATTCTTAAATGTTTTCACCATTAGTTATTCCTAGTAGACCCATAAAATAAAATACTTTTTTCTGGCTTCAAAATAACTATATAATTTTGTTGGTTGCTATTTTACGACACTCTGACCACTGTGCAATGCATAAAAATTTTCATTAATTTCAAATTTCCCATTAAAATACAAATTTCATTAATTAATTTAATTTTAAAGTGAAAAACTAGCCTGTGTAAGCACAACATAACACGAAGAGAGAAAAAGAGACGATTACCCAAATAACGTAACGTACGCAAGCATGAGTAACGTGTGCACTAACCACATTGTTGTAAATCACTCATTTAGCCATTGTTTACATTGTCGCAATGAAATTTGTTGACATGATTTAAATGATGAAAATATACGAAAAAAATTAAAATATTCAATATGGTTATTAGGGATTGTATTAAGTAGAGTATTTATATAGTGTTTTTGTGTTAATGTTTGATTTATTTTTTTTTCTTATTTATTAAGATTAATATATTTAAAGATTATTATTAAATATGTTTTATTTTATTTTTTTGTTGTTGTTTTCCTTTGAAATATTTATAATCTTAAGATTAAGTTTAGTCCCTAAATTTGGTATTTTACGGTTTTTGTTTTAATTCATACTCGTGTTTTGACAGCTGTCAGCTGTCACTCGTTCTTCATATCTCTAACTGTGTTTAAATAGCCATTCATAAAGTAAATCAATTTCTTTAAATTTTCATTTTCGTTATATTTGTTGTTTTTGTTTTCTTTAATTATTTTGTTGTTGTAAATATGTAAATATTTTCTGTTGTTTTTGGTTTTTATTTATTTAATAGTTTTTTTATTTTATTTATATTCTTTGTTTATTTTCACTTGTTGTTGTTGCTGTTGTTTGTCCATGTTAACTTAAAATATTATAAAGGAATGTATAAAATTAAGTTTAATAAATATGGGTTGTTGTTGTTTTTTTGTGTTTTTTTTTTGTTGTTGTTTGCTTATATGAAGAAGACATTGCTTGTTTCCGGCTCAAAGAGAATGTGTTTGTTTTTTTTTTTTTGCGAATTTCGTTTGAACTTTTTTTTTTTGTAACACATATTTATGTATGTATATAAATAATTGTTTCTTGATGAATATATTTGTATGTATGTATAAATGTATGTTTTATATCTACTTTGTAGTTATAAGGAGGCGGGGGGTTTTCATTTCTGTTTTTTTTTATTTTTTTCTTCTTCCTTGTTTCATTTTTTTTTCGTTTTGTTTTAGGATCTCAGTTTTCGATTTTTTTTCACTCCACATTTTTAAACACCTTGACTCAGACTCTCCTTAGACAATGGCAACATTGTCTGATGATGATGATGATGATCCATGGCCTGATGATGATGATGCGGTATTATAAACGGCGATGTCAACATTTGCAATGGACTAAAATTGGAATAACTAAAACTTTAAGCTGTAACTTTTTTGCGAAATTTTTTGAAACTTTGGTGATTTTGAAATTTTACGAAATAGGGGAACTTACTCGGGAAAATGTGTAGTTGGTGTGGGTGTTGTTGTTACCGGATTACGTACCGCATGCAGCGCTTGGGCATTTTTGGTTCTAGCTAATAGTGTCATAACCGTGCGTTTGGTCGGATTCATACTGGAACGTGGCACGCCCAGCAGAGGGCGTTTGCGTGTTAGATTGCCAGCTAAGAGAGAGGGGAAAGAGAAGAAAATTTAAAAAAAAATGGATTTTTACAAAAAAAAAAAAAAAAAAAAATACCATTTACCAAAAATCGGACGAAAATACATATGTGGGACCTATATCTAAATCTGAACCGATATTCTGGAAACTTAGCACACCTTATTCTAGACTAAATTCAGTACGCTATGCCAAATTTTGTGAAAATCGAAAGATATATAGGGGCTTTGGTGCACTATTTACATTAAATCGGACGAAAATATATATGGGAGCTATATCTAAATCTGAACCGATTTTCAGGAAACTGAGCACACATTATTCTAGGCTTATTTCAGTAAGCTGTACCAAATTTTGTGCAAATCGAGATATGGTAGCTATATCTATATCTGAACCGATTTTCACGAAACTTAACACACATCACCCTAGACCTAATTCATTACGCTGTGCCAAATTTCGTGCAAATCGAAAGATATTTGGGGACTTAAGTGCACCATTTACCTTAAATCGGACGAAACTGTATATGGGAGCTATATCTAAATCTGAACCGATTTTCACGAAACTTAACACACATCATTCTAGGCTTAATTCAGTACGCTGTGCCAAATTTCGTGCAAATCGAAGCATATTTAGGGACTTTGGTGCACCATTTAACTTAAATCGGACAAAAATATATATGGGAGCTATATCTAAATCTGAACCGATTTTCACGAAACTTAACACACATCATTCTAGACCTTATTTATTACGCTCTGCCAAATTTCGTACAAATCGAAAGTTATATAAGGACTTCGGTGCACCATTTACATTAAATCGGACGAAAATATATATGGGAGCTATATCTAAATCTAAACCGATTTTCACGAAATTTAGCACACATCATTCTAGGCTCAATTCAGAACACTGTGCCAAATTTCGTGCAAATTCGTGAAAGATATTTGGGGACTTTAGTGCACCATTTACCTTAAATCGGACGAAAATATATATGGGAGCTATATCTAAATCTGAACCGATTTTCACGAAACTTGGCACACATCATTCTAGTCTCAATTCAGTACGCTATGCCAAATTTCGTGCAAATCGAAGAACATATAGAGTCTTCGGTGCATAATTTACATTAAATCGGACGAAAATATATATGGGAGCTATATCTAAATGAGAATCGATGTTCATGAAATTTAACACACATCGTTCTAGACTTTATTCAGAACACTATGCCAAATTTCGTACAAATCGAAGGATATATAGGGACTTTTGTGCATCATTTACATAAAATCGGACGAAAATATATATGGGAGCTATATCTAAATCTGAACCGATTTTCACGAAACTTAGCACACATCATTCTAGGCTCAATTCAGAACGCTGTGCCAAATTTCGTGCAAATCGAAAGATACTAAGGGACTTTGGTGCACCATTTACATAAAATCGGGCGAAAATATATTTGGGAGCTATATCTAAATCGGAACCGATTTTCACGAAACTTAGCACACATTATTAAGGCTCTAAGGCGTGGATTTTTTAAAGAATTTTTATAGCCCTCCTAAAGGCCTTAAGGCGTCGATTTTTTAAAGAATTTTTATAGACCTCTAGCAGGCCTTAAGTCGTAGATTTTTTAAAGAATTTTTATAGCCCTCTTAAAGGCCTTAAGGCGTGGACCTTTTATAGAATTTTTATAGCACTCTTAAAGACCTTAAGGCGTGGATTTTTTAAAGAATTTTTAAAGACTACTTTAAGGCCTTAAGGCGTGGATTTTTTAAGGAATTTTTCAGAGGTCCTTTAAGGCTTTAAGGCGTGGATTTTTAAAGGAATTTTTCAGAGGTCCTTTAAGGCTTTAAGGCGAGGATTTTTTAAGGAATTTTTCAGAGGTCCTTTAAGGCTTTAAGGCGTGGATTTTTTAAGGAATTTTTCAGAGATCAGAGATTTTTTAAGGAATTTTTCAGAGATCCTTTAAGGCTCTAAGGCGTGGATGTTTTAAGGAATTTTTTCAGAGGTCCGTTAAGGCTCCTTTAAGTCGTGGATTTTTTAAGGAATTTTTTCAGAGGTCCTTTAAGGCTCTAAGGAATTTTTCAGAGATCCTTTAAGGCTCTAAGGCGTGGATTTTTTAAGGAATTTTTTCAGAGGTCCTTTAAGGCTCTAAGGCGTGGATTTTTTAAGGAATTTTTCAGAGGTCCTTTAAGGCTCTAAGGCGTGGATTTTTTAAGGAATTTTTCAGAGGACCTTCAAGGCTCTAAGGCGTGGATTTTGTAAGGATTTTTTTAAAATCCCGTCATTTTCATAAAATACCCAAAGTTCCCTAGAATTTTTCCAAAGGACTACTTTTTTAAGATTAAATAAATGGGAAAACTTAAGTTTCCACCTTTTTTAAAAACGCCACCAACCACAAACAGAAATTCCCAAATTTTCCCCCAAAAACTCTGTTTTTGATGAATTTCCAAGGCCGTATTAAGGGAAGTGCTTCTTTTTTGAACTTACCTATATTAATTGCCTTTACATTTCTCAGGGCAGGATGTAACAGTGTTCCCGATGTCTCTAAAAAAGTCAATGCCGAGGCGGCTGTAGGATCTGTGTCTGTGGGAGGTAATGTCAGACCTGTTGTGGGCTGGGTGGGGGCCAAACCGGTCATTGCTGCGGGATTGGGTTTTAAAATGCCACCCATGCCAGCGGCGGCTGCGGCCACGGCCGATAATTGTTGCTGCAGTGTTACGGTCATGGCACAGGGATGATGGACTGCAAAGGAAGAAATTCAGACAAAAATATAAAATTTAGAAATTTTTAAAAATCAAAATCCCATTCGGAAGTCAGAACTTACTTGGTGCCGCATTTGTTGCCAACTTCAATGGATCCGCTGCAATATTTGTTGTCACCATACCCGCCATACCATTACTGCTGGGTGCCCTTAACCTTTCCAATTTCTCCGTGGCCAAACAATCCATACCCGTTGATTCTTCCGATTTTTCATCATTCGATGTATCCATGTCGGTGATGCCACCCTCAATTAGATGATTGGGACTTGAGGCCAATTCCTGATCACTGGAATTGCCGCTATTTATGTTATTTATACTCCCATTGCCATTGGGGTTTGTTGAGGTGGTCAGTGCCTGCATTTCCCACATTTGTTCCTGTCGTATGTCATCGTGATAATCCTGGAAAGAGAAATCCGAACAAAAAATTAGAATTTTTTGGCTCAAAAATTGAAGAAAAAAATTCCAACAGGTAAATATCAAAGTGTTGCATTTCCCCCACCCTTCCACCATGTTGCTGCACTTGAGCTGAAGGTGGAACCTCCGTGCCGTTGCACACCATACTCTGCCATGGAACTTGTCAAGTGCTCACTTGGTACTTACTTACTCAAAGCTCTGAGCAGAGCAGAGGTCATCCGAACAAAAATATCATGAAATTATAATATTTTCCTCAAAATGCCACTTCAGGTTCTGCACTCAACAGAAAGTCAACAAGCAAAGTCGTGCAAAACGGACACCTTAAGCCTCAGAATGCAAAATATTCATAAAGAGAAGCGAGAACAGGGATGCAAGAGGGGTGGACGACAAAACACGAAATTAAAATATATTTGAAAAAATTTAACGGAAAAATTACAAAAAGAAATAGAACAAAAAAGGCGCCTGAAAGTATGCTACAACTTTTTAATTTAAACAACCCCTAGAAAACCTAATGGCCTGGATTTTTTAAAGAATTTTTGTAGCCCTCCTTAAGGCCTTAAGGCGTGGATTTTTTAAAGAATTTTTATAGACCTCTAGAACACCTTAAGGCGTGGATTTTTTAAAGAATTTTTATAGACCACTAGAACACCCTAAGGCGTGGATTTTTTAAAGAATTTTTATAGACCCCTAGAACATCTTAAGGCGTGGATTTTTTAAAGAATTTTAATAGCCCTCTTTAAGGCCTTAAGGTGTGGATTTTTTAAAGAATTTTTATAGCCCTATTTAAGGCCTTAAGGCGTGGATTTTTTAAAGAATTTTTATAGACCTCTAGAACACCCTAAGGCGTGGATTTTTTAAAGAATTTTTATAGACCTCTAGAACACCCTAAGGCGTGGATTTTTTAAAGAATTTTTATAGCCGTCCTTAAGGCCTTAAGGCGTGGATTTTTTAAAGAATTTTTATAGACCTCTAGAACACCCTAAGGCGTGGATTTTTTAAAGAATTTTTATAGCCGTCCTTAAGGCCTTAAGGCGTGGATTTTTTAAAGAATTTTTATAGCCCTCCTTAAGGCCTTAAGGCGTGGATTTTTTAAAGAATTTTTATAGACCTCCAACAGGCCTTAAGGCGTGGATTTTTTAAAGAATTTTTATAGACCTCCAACAGGCCTTAAGGCGTGGATTTTTTAAAGAATTTTTATAGCCCTAGAACACCTTAAGGCGTGGATTTTTTAAAGAATTTTTATAGCCCTCCTAAAGGCCTTAAGGCGTGGATTTTTTAAAGAATTTTTATAGACCTCTAGAACACCTTAAGGCGTGGATTTTTTAAAGAATTTTTATAGACCTCTAGAACACCCTAAGGCGTGGATTTTTTAAAGAATTTTTATAGACCTCTAGAACACCCTAAGGCGTGGATTTTTTAAAGAATTTTTATAGACCTCTAGAACACCCTAAGGCGTGGATTTTTTAAAGAATTTTTATAGACCTCTAGAACACCCTAAGGCGTGGATTTTTTAAAGAATTTTTATAGCCGTCCTTAAGGCCTTAAGGCGTGGATTTTTTAAAGAATTTTTATAGCCCTCCTTAAGGCCTTAAGGCGTGGATTTTTTAAAGAATTTTTATAGACCTCCAACAGGCCTTAAGGCGTGGATTTTTTAAAGAATTTTTATAGACCTCCAACAGGCCTTAAGGCGTGGATTTTTTAAAGAATTTTTATAGACCCCTAGAACACCTTAAGGCGTGGATTTTTTAAAGAATTTTTATAGCCCTCCTAAAGGCCTTAGGGCGTGGATTTTTTACAGAATTTTTATAGCCCTCTTTAAGGCCTTAAGGCGTGGATTTTTTAAGGAATTTTTATAGCCCTCTTTAAGGCCTTAAGGCGTGGATTTTTTAAATAATCTTTATAGACCTCCAACAGGTCTTAAGGCGTGGATTTTTTTAAAGAATTTTTATAGCCCCTCTAAAGCCTTAAGGCGTGGATTTTTTAAAGAATTTTTATAGCCCTCCTAAAGGCCTTAAGGCGTGGATTTTTTAAGGAATTTTTCAGAGATCCTTTAAGGCTCTAAGGTGTGGATTTTTTTAAGGAATTTTTCAGAGGTCCTTTAAGGCTCTAAGGCGTGGATTTTTTAAGGGAATTTTTTGAATCACCATAAGGCGTGGATTTTTTAAAGGAATTTTTTGAGTCACCATAAGGCGTGGATTTTTTAAAGGAATTTTTCAGAGATCCTTTAAGGCTCTACGGCGTGGATTTTTTAAAGGATTTTTTCAGTGATCCTTTAAGGCTCTAAGGCGTGGATTTTTTAAAGGAATCTTTCAGAGATTCTTTAAGGCTCTAAGGCGTGGATTTTTTAAAGGAATTTTTCAGAGATCCTTTAAGGCCCTAAGGCGTGGGTTTTTTAAGGATTTTTTTTTCAGATATCCTTTAAGGCCCTAAGGCGTGGGTTTTTTAAGGATTTTTTTT